GCCCCAGCCCTGAGCCCTCCCAAACCCATCTTCGTCAGTCATACCCCAGAGCCTGCACCCACAGCTGGAGCTGCAGCCCCCTCTTCCCCAGCCCCCTCTCATACGCCGAACCCCTCTGCCCCTGTCCACGTGTGGTATGAATTTTGTTGTAGCCCAGCCCTGGTCTTCCCCCAGCTCTGCTGTTGCCCCAGAACCTGCTCTCTGTCTCGCCCCTTAACCGCCCCCTCCCCGTCCCGAGCACCTCCATAGAGGTGCCCGTAACAAAATTCATTCCGCACGTGGACATACAGAATGGGAGGGAGCAATGACTTAGTGCAGTGATGGGCAACCAGCTACAGGGAATGGCCCCCTTCACCTCATTGGGGCACCTCACAGCGACCCACGGCCCCCTGGGGCTCCACCTGTGGCCATGCACCCCCCCATCTGCTCCCCACACGCCTTTGAGCACTGGCGCACCAGAGCCCGGCACTTCCTACGAGATGCGCAGCTCTTCCCAGAGTGCTGGAGGGGAGGGGAGGTGCAGGAAGTGTGGGGTTCGGGGGCCCCCATACGACAGGTGCGTAGGGGGGGGAACAGATGGACTGGTTAGAGCAGGAGGGGGGGGTGTGTTCTCTCCCTGGCTTGGGAAAGGGCGTAGAGCCAGTGGGCAGCGCAGGGACTGGGAGCCAGGACTCCTGGGTGTCTTTCATGCTGTCAGACGGGTTGGACTCCAGCTGTGCTCCCCTGCAGGTCGGAGAGCAGGTCCCCCTCTCGCCGCGAGAGGAAAAAGAGCTCAAAGAAGAAGAAGCACAGGTGAGGGGCTGGCCGGCGCAGGGAGGGCCTGGCAGCTGTGGTCCTGCCCCAGGGTGGGGGGTGGGCTGCAGGGTCTGTGGCTGGGGGGATTGGTTTTGACCCATGTTCTGTGTCTTCTGCCCAGGTCGGAGTCGGATTCTAAGAAGAGGAAACACAGGTGAGCACCTGCCTTGCTGTTTCTGATAGACACTGGCAGCCCTGGCTTTCCCAGCAGGGGGCGCCGTGGGGGGGCTCCCGGCTGGCCCCGGGCCGGGCCTGGACTCCAGCGGCCGGGCCTTTCCCAGCAGGGGGCGCTGTGGGGGAGCTCCTGGCTGCGCCAGCGCTGGCCTGTCCCAGCAGGGGGCGCTGTGGGGAGCTCCTGGCTGCCCGGGTGCTGGCCTGTCCCAGAGCAGGGGGCTCTGGGGGGCAGGGCACTGGCTGGGGGCGTGTCTCGTTTCCCAATGGCTCCTGTTACTCTTGTCAGGTCTCCCAGTCCAAAAAGCAAACACAAAGCCAAGGAGAAGAAA